GACACAATCGTTAAATTTACAGATAAAAAATTCTGTTCTGACGATGTTAGACCGCAAAAACATGTCTATCGCTGATCGAAACACAGAAGCGTTGTATCAATCCACTAACACGTGACCGTAACACTTTTGTATCCTTTATTTTCATAACCCTAGTTGACAATGGGAATATTATTAATAATTAATAATTTAATTTTGGATGTAACGCGTCTTCTGATTGACTGACGTTGTTTTGTTTATCAGCTCATATACATAATTTTGTCATGTTACCATGACGTCATCAACGTTTTTTCATGGTTTACTCCGGTTTAAAATGGAATTTAGAATTAAATTATAAGAAATGACTCTAATATTTTTTCTGTCTATTCGAAATAACATGAAAAATGTGGTGCACACTTTAAAATAACACGCTACGCGGGTTATTCAGTGTGCACCACATTTTTGATGTTATTTCTTCATAGACAGAAAAAATATTACAGTCATTCCTTTAATAATACGAAAATTGAAGTCGTCGTGTTCATATGTCCTAGTTTTACGTCGTCTATCTCTGTCAATTTCAAGAAAAATATCAAAATATACAATAGATCTTTTTTTATCGGTTGTATCCTTAACCCTCTTGCTGCCGGTAGTTTTTCAAGGTTGCATTTCGTGTGCCAGAAAATACGACAGCTCGACGTCTGTGACGTCACATGCCCAATTCCATGTCACGTGATAACGTTTTACCCAATAGAATTGTTTGAAATATATGTAAGGTATAATAATACATATTAAAATTTATCGTCCCTATTCGGAATGATTTACACCCAGCAGCTGACGTAATTGGGTTTCTTTTCTGTTAAATTTTTCATGCAAGATGCGATGTTTATGACGAAATTACGAATTATATCAATCCCCGCATTTGGACCCATAGATTATTTAACTACCAAGCATTTGCTTTCGTCATCAAATTCCTAAATAGACGAAAGCTGCAACTGACAATAATATTGACTTTGACAATGATATTGGCTTTGAAAATGATATTGACTTTGACAATGTACATTTTTTCGATGTTAACTGGATTGATGAGTATCAAATTCACTTCCTTGTTGTGTTACTTGTTTTTACTCGAGTGAATTCCATAATTGTACAGGTTGTCATTTTTAAATATATAAAAGAAACTCATTTTGCGCCCATTGAAATTGCTGATCTCAATGACATTTGGTTGGGAATGTTGATCTTCTTTAAATGCATGTACGCCTTTTATGTCGCATCTGGTAGTGACAACCGGATTTTAAGATCCGTATAAACTATTGGTTGGCCCATTCCGAGCAGAACACTTTCCAGATTTTCTAGTAGACTACTTGCCGCTGTTCATTTGTAATTCATCACCCATATACATATATCATTTAATTATTTTTTTATTTTTTGCTTCGCATCACGGTGCGGAGCTATTAGTTTCAGTCGATATACACTCCATCTTGAAATAATTACTTACCACATATATATTCTGATTGGTTGCTTTATGATGCGGCTGAGATACAGCAACAGCTATTGGCTTAAAATCTTAAATGAGATAAAGAATTACAGACTTTTCTCGTCTCGGGATAAGACATTTGCTTTGTTAATCTACAATATGCACGATATCTTTTGCTAAATAATGTTCCTATACCATGTTTACAAATATGCATTATCTGTATTTTATAACTTCTGCCAAAAAAGCATGGGTGTATAACGCACACTCTTAAAGTAGAACAACATAATTTTCACTGAAACTAAATATTTATTGCTGTTTCTTATTTATTTTAACTGTTGTAAATATCTTTTGGTTGTACAATTCTTTGTTTTCTCCTTGGTTTTGATTGTTATTGTCTTCATCACTCGAAATCATGTTACTCTTAATCAACATACCTAAACATTCATATATATCTAAATAAATTATATACAGAACTAGCAATCAAAATCGCAAGTCAATGACCAGCTGAAAGAACTAGAAAACCACACTCCACAAAAACACATTGACAACTTAACACTGAACAGCCAGTTTTAAATTTCAGAAAAGTTCATCTTAATATATATACAAAAGTTGATACTCCAAGTCTAAGACATTCATTTTAATATATCAATCAATATCTAAAAATATCACATTTCCAATACTAACTCAACAACCACATGCACACATATTTCCTTGAATTAGGATAGAGCGAAGCAGTCCACAGCTTTTTAGAAAGCTCAAACTTGTTTACTTTTTATTTTTTATCGGGGTCTGTTTATTTAGTTTTCAGGGATGTATATGGAAACTTTAAATCTGATGTCATCTGATGTCCGTGGTCCAAGTTTTAATGCTAATTATATGCTTAAGTTTATTGTGGATTAAAGGTCCGCAGTTAACCGTTTACCATACAATGCCTCCCATAATAAATGTTCGTCCAAATTTAGTCATTTAATTTCTCTTTGCAAAGTTTTCCCAATTGATTTAATTTAAACTCGAACTGAATCAGTATGAAATGCTGGTCACTACAAATTAAGCGAGTTTCACTCAATACTTTAAGAATTAACCTTCTGTGCAATGTTTCGAATTGTTGTTTGTCCTTTATAAAAATCTTTCCTTTACGGGAGAGCGGATTTTCTTATATAATTATATCTGTGAATGTTTCACCTCATCCCCCATCCCATGTCTGTTTATTAACGTTTACCATAGACCTGTGTTTCTCGACATGGATTGCTTTGATAGTAATTATAACAATGAATGACAAATTAAACCCTTGCGATACTGGCAAATTAACTTAACTTGACAAGGGAAAACATTAATGTCAAAGAAATTGCCTAAATTTTGTTTTTGTTAATCATGAAATCATTCATGAAAAGATTTGGATTGAAACGGATACGTTTCCATACAATTTCAATTGGAATATAACAAATTTTCTATAAAAGCAAGGATAAATTATTCTGTTTGATAAATTAATGTTTTGCAGAAACTGAATACCGCATATTTAATATATAATTGTTTATCTAGGGGTGAAATCAATGTCATGAGGACTAGATGAACAAATTGTACATTACATAATTAAATAAATTTCATATTGATGACGATGTTTAATGGGCATACATTTGTATGCGTATAATTATCCTGCAATCTTTCAACTGTTTGCAGTAAAGCTCATACGGGTCCCTCTACTCATCCTTGAAAGCTACTTTTAGTATTTTAAACTGTTTAATTATTTAAAAAAAATATTCATTATATTATATACTTCAATAACTTAGCAATTTAACAACAAAAAAAGACATCTATTACGACTTCAACAAAAGACAAATTTGCCATACGCATTCAATTCAAAAACAAAAACATTAACATATACCAAAAGACTTATCACTGACAAATTCGCAGACTAGGTACCAAAATGAGCATGTATTGGGTGACAGTATTTTTTCAAGATCCCACTTCTCACCGTTTTACTTCGATTAGTGGTCGCTTCTACGAAAAAATTATGAACGTCCAATAGCAAGTGGTCGCTTCTACGAAAAATTTATAAACGTCCAATAGCAACTACTCATGCATATCCAGGACGTAAAAGATGCTGTAACTTATATTTGTCTATTTTGTTTTTCAACTTTATTCAGAAATCAGAACCAAAGCATCATTTAGCCATTTTCAAAATAAATACCATTATATCACAATTATGGACGACTATAGCTTATTTTTCTATCTCTTTATCCACAACACCAACTGAAAAGGATGACTTTTAAGTTAACTACGACGACTTAAAGTCGTAAATCCTCCTATTTTTTCTACATAGTAAGTTTCATTTTCCCGCCTTTTCATCGTTCATAAAAACTGCATTATTTTTCAAAAAAATTTAAAGATATGAATAATTGTGTTCATTATATTTATTAGTCATTTTACTTTTACAAATTGTGACTTTGATGGATAGTTGTCTCATTGGCACTCATACCACATCTTCTTATATCTATGAATAAAACTTTCGAGATATAATACACCAATGAAATAGCAACTAAACGATACGAAACGCATGATATATGCCATCCACATCAATGATTTTATATTATCTACAATTATTCGAGTATTTTAAGAAACTAATTGTCTGGCGAACATTTTCAAAATAGTATACCAATCTTCAAAATTAAAATAAGTCATAATTGTGGTATAATTTCTGACGGATATACAAAGAGGTCATACTATGTTTACAGTCGTACGTACCGAACAGTCATGCACGTCTCAACAATCGATGCAATTAGTAGTTAATAAAGTTATAAAGTAATAAATCAGATTTATTCCAACATAACTACGGCTTGTGTGTTATCTATACAAAAGAGAGGGATTCGTCTTAATAGGTTTGTAACAGATCAAATTAGCGCCAAATTAATGGTCTTAGAAATAAACAATGTATACAAATATTAGTCGGACGTACCACTAACAAGCCTAAATGCAATATTGGTAATAGACTGTTGAAATGTAAAGTTCTCTTTTCTATATTAATAAATCAAAACTGACAAATATACTGAAAGGTTTCCATTAATTTTATCAACATTCTCCTCCACAGAAAATATCATTGATCCAAATGATACAATCATATAAGACATTTAGGCATTTTTATTTGATGTAAAATATATTATTCCACGCTCTTGAAAACATATCTTTAGAAATGAAACTGGTTGGATTTATTCGTTTAGAGATGCACAACAACTTTAAACATTATTTAATTTTGTTGTATAAAATTGTTTTTATAAGTTTTGCGGTTGTAAAATCAACAACAAGTGAACGATCTTGTTCTGGAACTTTTGACCAGTGCGGATCGAGTTTTCTACAACTTTATGGAAAACAATTTACAGGAAACACCTATAATAGGTATACAGCTAATATGATGGCAAACAATATTGTTCGAATAGGGGGACTGTTCGAAGTAGATTCAACCAGAAAACAAAATGCAATTTCAGAATATAAAGCTGTGCAAGTTGCATTAAAACATGTCAATGAGAACAGAGTTCTGGATGAGTATATGATAGACATGGTTTTCAACGATTCAAAGGTAAGACTTATTAACAGATTTAAATTCGACGTATAGCTGTAAACGTCTGTTTCAGTAAATACAAAGAGGGACATCAAAAATGAAAATGAACGTCTGAACTGTCCAGCTAACTAGTCTGGAATGTACTTATAATATATGAAACCAAGTTTGATCAAACAAAGGGTCGAATACAGCTAAATATTGGTTAATTAGTGTTCAAACTGTGCAAAGTTAAGACTCGTTTGAATAGTGTTCAGTCTTGGTCGAATATTGTTCAGTCATGGTCGAACATTGTTCAGTCTTGGTCGAATATTGTTCAGTCTTGGTTGAAAAAAAATTGTTAGTCTAGGTCGAATATTGTTCAATCTTGGTCGAGTATTGTTCAGTCTTGGTCGAATACTGTTACTCTTGGTTAAATTTTGTCCAGTCTTGGTCGAATATTGTTAAGTTTTGGTCGAATATTGTTCGGTGATGGTCGAATATTGTTTAGTCTTGGTCGACTATTGTGCAGAATCAGTCACAGGATTTGACATATATTTTTGAAATACATCTTGAATGTGCAAAAGTATCATTTTCAACTTTTGTACTCTTAAGAAACGGTAAATTTAAAGCAAGGTATGTAAAAATACAGACTTTTCTAAAAGGTAGAGTAAACTTGAATAAAATTACAAAAAACAATTCTAGATTTTTTTCCTGGTTCAAAAGTGCATTCTCGTTCATTTCTGTTTTCGTTTCTATAAGATGATACCTTTGTGTACATGTAGTATACCTTGTATGTATGTTATACATTATGATATATGAATGATAACTGTTGGGAGTGCTTTAGAGTTGGAAAATGTAATGTAAATGGCGTTATAACAAATAAAGTTATTAAAGCTTTGTATTCATTAAGTTCTATTGGCTTCCTGTCATTAAACTAAAGCAATGTGAATTGGTCGTCAATCACTTGTAATTTAAAACTTTAAGAGTTCCGTAAAACGTGTTTATGAGCACGAAATAACACAAAAAACATCATATTCAGTAAAATTTGAGGATATTCCGCAATTTCGACCGTGTATATAAAGAACAGCCCAGAACCCAGACCGTCAGTGGATATAAGTCGGGTCATCTTTAAAGACACCTCGAACCGTCTTACATACCATGGCTGGTGTATTATTTGATTTGAAGAAATGTATTGAAGACGCCTTGGACCGTCTATGGAGAAAATTGTGGACCGTTAAAGATATAAAATGAGGAGATGTGGTATAAGTGCCAAAGAGACAACAATCTTTCAGAGTGAGGTGGATTTAAGCAACTACAAAGGTACAGGTTGCCATACGGCCTTCAACGATGGACAAAACCCATACCGTATAATCAGCTATAAAAGGCCCCATTAGGAAAACAATGTGAAATAATTCAAACGAAAAAACAAACGTTCTGATTTGTGAAAAACAACGAATATAACTTATCCGTACGGCCTTTAACATTGAATAAAATCCAAGGCCCTTGCATGACAAAATGTAAGCAAATTCAAACGAGAGAATCAGCGACCTAATCTATGCTTTATTAATTAAACAATAAACCCCAAAAAATGTAGCATGCATCAATCAACGACAACCACTGAATTATAGGCTTTAGACTAGGGAGAGGCACCCAACGAAAGTGACAGGTTTAAACATTGTATTTTTAAAACATATATGATATATGATACCTTACACACAACCAATGTTTCTTTTGTAAACTTTTTCAACAGCCCAAATCCAAAAGGTATTAAGCGTTTTACAGTATTGAAACCAAAAGGGCATAAAAAGAACATAACAAAAACAGTCTAATGGCTATACATATCTTTATTCTCGTCAGTAAAGCTGTGGTCACACCATACCGGATATATAGCTCAAACGGACGCCGAACGGATGAAAAAAAAAGTTTTCCGTTGACAAAATTTGTATCCATTGGGTGTCCGTTGGTATACTGATCAAATAAAACGAACGGGTAACGAATGCCTAACGGACACTCACAGGATATGCAACGTACGAGAAACTGAAACGTACCGGACAGAACGGACGTCGAACGTACATCCAACGGACGAGTACCGCATAAAACGGACACCAAACGGAAGCGTACCGGATAAAACGGATGAACAAGATAAGCGGAAAATTAAAAGTAATAATAATATATATCTTTCAGGCTAAGCAATGATCTTGCCCACCATCTCCTTTGTTTTCTCCTTCTTCTCCTTTCGACAACTAGTAGGTTTATATTTGCAACATTTAAGTTCAGTCGGACCTGAATAAGAGCTGCTTGATAGTGAAGACATGCTCTTTCTCCAAGATCCATCATAAGTAATAGACGTTCATGACACTCAAGAAATCTGACATATCAATAATTGTCATTTCTGAGTGACGCGAAATTTTCAATTGGCATTTATCCGTTTTACATTCGGTAGGTATCCGTTATCCTTCCGTTCATGTCCGTTTCCCATCCGTTCTATCCGTTATACGTCCGGTAGAAGTCCGTTGGTGAATTTGTCTACCGGACCTCTAACGGATGTATAACGGACAAGTAACGGATACAAAACGGAAACGAAACGGACGAGTACCGTACAAAACGGACGACTACCGGACGTTCAACGGACACTTCATCCGTTGGACGTCCGTTCAAAGTTTTGAACATGCCCAAAATTTTCCACCGGACAGAACGGACATCGACGGATATGGACGGACGTCTAACGGATAAGAACGGACGTCTAACTGACATGAACGGATTGAAAAAAAGGTATCCGTTCGGCATCCGTTCGAGCTATCCGTTAAGGTTTGACCGAGGCTTTAACCAAAGTACAAAGATATAGAGACAATGTCAACTTTTCACGCGGTTTTTTTACACAATTATCTTATTTTAAAAACATGAAATTTAGTTGAATCCATTCGCATCATTCAATCCATGTCAATACCTTACACAGATCAAAGACTTATAATTTAGTACGTTTAATGAGAAATTGCAAGTTTGGAAAAGGATTTTCTAATGAAGTCGATTTATTGATAAAAATATGTTTTTGTTAAAGTCCATAAACATAAACATTTCCTATGAGAAATCAAGAATGAATTTGGGAATTAATTCGCTAAAGCGTGATACTTTGGCAGTATAGGGTGAAAAAAGTTGAGGAATGTTTTTTTTTCAAATATTTACATTAACGGAATACTGATTAATAATTAGCTATTTAATAACACTCAAGTTTGTTCAATATTGTCAAAATCAGCTCAAAACTTTTGAAATGGGCAGTACTACTAGTGTTAGGTCACCCTATCCGCACTTACAGTTTTGCACAGAAAGACACATTGATATACATATAATTTGTAAATTGTAAGCACAAAAAATATGTAATTCCGATTTATTTATTATTTAAGTTTTAAGAAATATAGGAATATAAATCATACAATAACGAATAGTATGTCCAGACTAGGTAAAATTGCAAAAATGGTCACTAAGTGATACAAAAATAAAAAAATAATACATACAGTGCTATCAAAAACATTTAACAATTACTGTTGTTTTTATTAACATTGTATCCGTCAAACTTTCTCTCTTTTATTTTATTGCATTGTGCCATTCCATATCATTTGATTTATTATTTTTATCATGGCCAAAATGAATACAATAGTTGCTTTCGCTGTATGTTTTTAAAGATATCAAGTCGTTTTAAGGTGGATCATCGGTATATATTTTCTCAGATAGAATTTGTTTATACTTTGCCAAAATGAACACTTTTTAATGCTTTTTTCCAAAATATAATAAAAAGTATGGGTCACCGTGCTATTTTTCAAGCTACAAGTGGTGCAAAATTGCCGAAATGTGTATAGATTGTTCATGATAGAACACATTTGTGTGAATAAAAAGAAATCTATGACATAGAATTTTAAAATTTATATGAGAAGGTAGGCTTTATAATATGCTTTAAGAAAATAAAATGAAAAAATGGTGTCACCGAACTTGTTTTCTTGCTACAAGTAAAAAATGAAAGTTTCACTATCATTCCAGTATATTTTTTTTACTATTAGAGTATCTCCCCTTAAATGGCCAAGTTGAAAAATTGATTCTAAAAATATAAATATTTGGTTTTGTTTAAATATTTTGGATAATGCAATAAATCACCTATTTTTCTTTATACAAAAAAGCAGTCTTAAACATAAATTGCAAATCTGTCTCAAAATTTGAAGATTTAGGCAAAGAACTAGACCGATTGTGTACTGCTATTGTACAATCCAAGATGGCGGTATACAGTGAATCTACCTTAACTTCATAAATGTATAGTGTTTAAACAAACACATTATGCATATAACTTTCTTTGGGTTGTTGGATGCACAAATAAAGATAAAATCATTTCAGTATATCAAAGAATAAATTTAGATAAATTATGTTTTTTTTTAAAGTTAAATCCACTACTAAGTGGCCATAAAACAAAACAAAACTAACAGTATTTGACCTAAAATGAAGTACTAAGAACTTGAGCCTTACAAAATAAAAATCCCTCTCGCGACAGGTGAATAATTATTTCGATAGCATACATTCTTCTTTGCTTATTTTTTTCTGAAAAAAAAAATTCTTTAACATCCCTGCTGTTAAAAGTGTCAGTTGGTTCCTTACAAGTATAAGCCAAAAGTAACAAAAAAAGGGTCTTAGTGTTGACACATTCAATGTAGTTACTGTAATACCAATTGAATCAAACTAGAATTTAAATAGTAGTTTGACTACTAAAGCTGCAGTATCATAACGAAAGGAATGAATAAATTGGAAATAATGCATTCAAACTAAATAGGCAATCCTTGCGATAATCATCAGTGCAACCGAGGATACATTAAATCAAAATGAAGAAGATTAGAGAAACAATGCCAATGATACCATCGCTTCTAAATTGGATATTGACTTAAATACATTCATAGTGTCGCATGTCCGTTAATACGACAAACAAAGCTTGAATCAATTCAATTTTCTTCTCGATCACGGATAAATCTTAAACACAAACTCTTAAATTATAATTGAAGTGT